GTCTTGGATTCATGGCAAACACCATGACTAAATAAGAGACTAGGCTAACAGTGGTAAGGCACATCTAAGTTGTGTCATCTCTATTCCTATATCTCAACTGAGATGGAACAGGCAAAAAATCAGTCCCATATGGTTTAGAATTTACCCATAAAGATATTTCAATTTCTACAACTACAAAAGCAAATTCAAATAATATAATTAGGAAATAATGCTCAGCTTTGAGAGACTCAATCTGTAAGGAGAGGACATCAAAGGGCAACAGGAACAAATCAACGAACCAACAATGGGTCCCATAACATAGGAAAATTGCTTTTTCCATCATCTCTGGCCCTTGCCCCAATCACACTGGTCACCAGCTGCTGTGATTTGGAAAAGTAGCTCCCAGAAGGGGCCAGCTTCTCTAACTAGCTCAGCTCCTGCTAGAGACAGGATCTCAAAAGAACAAGGCAGATTTCTTCAAGGGTCTGTCTGAGTGTGTGGGCACCCCCTCACTTGCCTGGACACTGTTGGCAGTAAGCCTACTATGAATTGCTATACAAGTCTCAGGCAGTGGAATCTGCTTTCTCAGTTGGCTCTAACATTCAACACTCCATCCTCCTCTCTGCTCAGGCCCCTGAAAGTAACAGGACAGATCTCAAGGGGCGTGAGTCCTGTCTGTACCCTCTTTGGTTGGTGCAGGGAATTTCTGACTTGAGCCTGCTGAGTGCTAGGAAGCAGAATCTTTAGTGCAGGTTAAACCCACAGGGAACATACAAGAAAGGCTCTAAGAGCAATGATCCCTGGGGACCATTCATAGAGAGATAACTTCTCCTTCAATGAGTGACTCAGATATTGAAATGATTCAAATTCCTACAGATGGTTCCTGACAATGAAGTGAGGAGGTAAGTTACCTGATTTTAGACATTTCCCCCCTATCACAGGACTACTGAGGCTCTGAAACCACCAACACTGATATTTTAGAAGTCCCTCCTGGAAGTACCAACCCTACTCCTGAAGCAGAGGAGGATCCATCCTCCTGAATGCCAGATCAGATAAGATGTGCCTGACAGTGAAGAGAAGGAAGCCCCAGTGAAAAAGATGCTGATGCAACGTGGGGATGGCTGAGTTCTGACTCCTAATCACTTCATAAAGGGCAACAATCCCCATCAGTATTATTCACGGCAGCAAACAGACAGCTGATAGATCAGACATGCCACTTTCCTGCTCCCCACGTCTGCACATATTTCCACCAATCATTGGGTTCAATATTCCTTGCTTACTCACAGACTTACTTACAGCTGTGGTACCAAGAGAGGGGTTTATTAGGGAAATAAGTCGGAGAGTGGGGGAGGCAAAGACTATCACCCAATGCAAGTCCAGGTTTAGTCTAGTAATCCCAAATCAGATTAATTGCAAAACACAAATCCTCAATTAGTAAAAGTCCTAGTTCAGTAGTACAAGTCCAAGTCATCCAGCAAGGTTTGTCTCAGAGCAGTTATAAATGAGCTTCTCCTTCAATTATCTGGGAGGTAAAACTTGTAACTG